GTCAGAACTAACTGGTACAAGCAGCAAAAATAAAGCAGCAGACGCGATTTTGCTGCTTTTGCTGCGTCCGGTCTGAACGTAGCATAACGTGCATGACGTGCTTCAGAAGCAGCAGCTGCTGGAGTTGGAAAAATTGAACTTTAGCTGCTGGACGCGCCGCATCAACCAATCAGAGAAGCCAATCTGGGAGCTGGCAGGGAGTCAGACGCAGCACTGCTGATGCAGAGCGCTATGATTACTCCTCTGAAACAGCTTATTAACGCCTAAATTAACCTAAAATGTCGAAACCTGCAGGTAAAATTTATTCAATTTTATTCTGGTGCCTGCAGTTTCAATTTGTACGTGAAAAACGGCTTCCGACCGCCGTGAACAGTAGCGGAAAACCGCAAAGAGCCGACCGGGCCAGAGGCTGCTGTTGAATGGGATTCCCAGTGACAGCGCTCCGCCGCTGTATGGAGTGGCTCCGACAGAGAAATAATATTTGAAGGCAGGATGGTAATCTGCATGAACTGACTGCACAGATTAAGTTTTCAGATGGACTTTCTCACTTAAAAATATAGAAAAACTACTTTTTACCCATTGATCAGAAAAAATATAGCTGCCATTGTTCCAGGCAAAGAAAGGATAGAGTAGCTCCGCCCAATTTACAACACATGTCATCTCAATGCTTTACAGTTCACCAGATCATACAGTCGAATTGATTCAAAGTTTTCTATTTGAGGAAAACAAGTTGATTGCATCGACTCATTGACCCGAAGGCAACCCTTGCAACCCTTCAAATAATGCTTGTAGCGACAGTGGAGAGGAAAAACTCCCTTTTAACAGGAAGAAAGTGTGAGCGTCCATCTGCTGAGGCTGACTGGAGTTCATGGAGACAGAAGCAGACATAGAGAAAGAAAGCAGAGATACAAAATGCAACTGTCAACCAGCTCCACAGGCGGCCCCGTCCAGGAAACACACAGCCTTCTTTTTTCATCATATATTCATAGCAGCCTGCGTTGCCTTTTTAAAGTGAAGTGTTGAGTTCTAGGCATTTCTATCTATAGGAGTATCTATTGTAACCAGTGTTGTATAGTAACAAAGTAAAAATACTTCACTACTGTACTTAAGTATACTTTGGAGTACTCTATACTTTTCAAGAGTATAGATTTTTTTGAGAACTTTCACTTTTACTTCACCACATTTACAAACTTAATTGCATACTTTTACTCCGATACATTTTCAATGTTCGGTTTAGTTACTTAGTAAAAAAAAAAAAAAAAAACGAACAAGAGAAACGCAAGTGGTTTGACTCCACCTACTGACTACAAAGTCGGGTCTTGCCTGGGCTCGTTCATCAACACCAATAGGATTCGCCTTTTTCGCAAAGCCAGTCTAAATTTATCCTACACTTGGTTGTTTATATTATTCTAAGTAAATTTAACCTTCAAAGTTTACCAAAATGTAAAAAAAATGTCATTCAAACTGCACTACTTTTTACTTATACTTTTCTACTAGGGATGCACGATATTGGGATT